ACGTCTTTACCGTTCCTCTCTCGCTCGTACTACCTACTCTACTCCGTACTACGTCTACTACGACACCCCACCCCCACCCTACGAAACGAAAGAAGAAAGAACACTACCTCCTCTCTCTCTCTCTCTCTCTCTCTCTCTCTCTCTCCCCTTTGCCCTCCCCCACAAACCCATCTCTCTCTTTATATCTTTGTTTCTCGTATCTCTCTATCTCTACCCGTTATAAATTTCTCTTCCTACTTCAATCTTGCTCTAGCCATTAGCCATATCTTTCTCTCTCTATCTCTACTATGTTTTCCTGCTCTAGAGATTCCTTGCCTTTCATCCCTCTTCCATGTAAAAACGTATCTTCAAGTTGCATCCATATGCTATCCAAACATAAAATCATTTTATAGGAAATATATTTTGAAGAAATGTATTTCACATGAAATATTTTTCTTCAGACAATTTTTTTCTAGGAATTCCAACAGTGTTGTGATATGGTGTTAGATGTGCATTGGCTCTTAACTGAGAGGCTGATTCTCAGGAATTTTGTGGAGTTTTGGGTGCGCTCACGGTTGAATGTGTATCATACAATCAAGCAGTTTAAGCCTGGCTCATCAAAATTATTTGTGTCAGTATTATATAACTGTTGTTTCATAAGATTCATCGCGGGATAATAGCACAATTACATGCATTGGACATGGAAGGTGTAGCTGTTAGTGACCCACAAATGTTGTAACCCATCTTGGAGCAATTTGAGGATGTTCTTATTGTACTATTAGCTGCCACCACCTTGCTTGCAAGATCATCAGATTCCCTTAGTTCCAGGTAGTTGACCTACCGATATTAGGCTGTACTTGTACTCACATTTTCAAAAAAATGAAATTAACTAGGTGGGGCAATATATGTTTGAGGTTGGAATTATTTGCCTTAGTGCATTCCCTTACTCATCTTTGATTTTGTTGGTGAAGAAAAAAGATGGAAATTAGTGCGTGTGCATGGATACAGTTCTCTAAACAAGGTAGCAAGTTAAGGACAAGTTCCTTATGCTTGCTATTGATGAGCTTCTAGATGAGCTTCAAGGGGTAAGATTCTTCCATGCTAGACCTACATTCATGATATTGTCAAATTCTTTTATATGACGTTGAGCAAAAAATTGCTTTTGGGACACATGAAGGGTCATACCATTTGACCTAACTAATGTGCCCTCTACATTCCAAAGTTTGACAAATGCGGTACTGAGACCTTACTGTGTAAGTTTATTTTACTGTTATTTGATGATGTTCGTAACAAGAGGAGTAGAAACGAGGAGTTATTTAAGATTGATGGCCAAGAAGTACCTAAAACATTTTATTTTTGATCTCTTGGGTCCATATCTGTCACGGCCCCACCCCCTGACCCCTACCGTACATGCCAGAGGGCGACAGAGTGCAGGATCATGATCAGAGGTGGCGAATGCCACGCAAGAGGGAGTGGCTCAACGCTTATGGGATAGGCAGGATCAAAGCAAACCACGAAAGAAAGTAAAACTCAAACACAAAGCTACATGAACTGAACAAAATAAACCCATCGTATTCATATACATTCTCCAAAAATTATATGCAATTATGTTTGACGCACTATAGGTCTGACAACAAAATTTCAAAATTTCATCAAAACAACTCTGGGGCGTTGCCATCAGATACCTACAAACAAGTAGTTTCTTTGCAAAACACCAAGCTTCAGTCGTCTGCCACAAATGTCCAGCGGCCCACTCAAGAACTGTCGGTTATCACTCTACACAGGAAAAAAAGAAAGAAAAAGGGATGAGCTACAAGCCCAGTACATAGATCAGTACCATTGCATCCCGGCCTACATATATATATATATATATATATATATATATATATATATATACACACACTACTACTACTACTACTAACTACTACTAACTAACTAACTAACTAACTAACTAATAACGTACGGTACCCAACCTAAACTTAAATTAAGTTAACG